CACATCAATTTCATTAAAGTATTCCAGTTACAAAACCTTATACCTGCTGCTTGAAGTATCGTCTGTCTTCTTCATCTACGAGCACTAGGTTCAAGAAGTATCTTACAGAAAATTTTTTGTTTACATCTCTCATTGTGGGAGTAGGATCATAGCCAGCCAAAAAGAGTCTTATGGGAATAGATTCACCTTAAATTTTTAAAAAAAACATTCATTTTTTAAAATAAATTGATTGCAAAGTTTAATACTGAATGATTTTCCAAATTCATAGTTTACAATTTTTTTACAAGCTATTTTTCAATAAAGCCAGCTGAGTTAACTTCCTGAAGGGCACAAATGGCTTTGTGGAAGTTTCTTTTCAGAAATTTAAGATAACCCTCTGCATGTCATTTTTTGGGGAATCACAGCTTTGTAGTAGAGCAGGGATGTCAAACTGCCGGCCCATGGGCCAGATGCATCATTGCTGGCAAAAGAGTCACGAGACGTTGCGACACCTCACGTAACGTTGCAAGTTTGACACCCCTGTTGTAGAATATCACACTCCTCTTATTCTGACATCTGACTGTCACTGTAGGAAACAAGATGTTGAGCTAAAAAGTTGTTTAGTCTAATAAATTCTCATTACATTTAGTTTATCATAATAAAAGAACACATTTGACCTTATTTTACTTGACATATGAAAACAAGTAATGTTTTCTCATCTTACTTGCTTCATCAAAGAAGTAAGACAAGTCCTATAGGAAGGAATTCCTAAATTAAGAGCTCAGTTATTCTTTTTCAATACAGCAAGATTGTTTATAATTGCAGGTGTACTTAAAAATCTCAGCTGATACAAATATATCCTAACTATTCTGGATTACAGATAAATAAATGCACCCACTCACCTTTAACTGGTGCACCATCCATTATTTCATATTTTGCAATAGTTTCCGTTTCTGTTGTTGTACTGGGTCCTAGATGGTTATATAAAAGTATAAATAAGTAGCATGATGTTTAGTTTAGCTTTTTCTCAATTTTCTATTTGTAACTGCAATTATTTCAGTAGGATAAAATCCAGTATGAAGTATGCTTTAACTGTATCTTGTAGCTTTATAACTGTACATTATTTAATTACACAAAAATTTGAAAAATGGTTCTAAATGTCACAGAATTTTAATTAATACACTAAGCAAGGTTTTTGTACTCCTGTAGTACTAATCAAGATAATTGAATATGCCCCAAAGATGTGCTAGTTATTTCTGCACATCAATTTGCCAAAGCGAACAAATGTGATTCTAGCTTCTGAATATTTACTATAATCTATTATTGTTCTGAATCATCTCTATTATCAAAAACTCTTATGCTATGTTTTTTTGAGATTCTTCTATATTTTAAGCCATTGTATAAAAGTCTTTCGTAAGGCAATTAAAAGACAAAATGAAATTACATATGACAATTTAAGGGTAATGCTTTAAAAACTACTTCAGAGGAGGACCCTTGGAAGAAGAAGGTTATTGGCAAAACTAATTTAAGTTTAAAGTTACAGTAAATTTTCATAATTTACTAAATGGCATTCATGCAAACAAATTATATTCAAATATTATTTAAAAAAACCAAGAGCCTAATAGAAAAGGCAAGACCTAAATGACTAACAATGAACTATTTTTTCTTCATCTTACCAATTCCAGTTATTTCTTTTTTTATCAGCTGTAATTCCATATGTTGAATTTTTATTCTTACTAAGAGGAAGTAGATTTTTCCAACAATCACATCCTTTAAGTGATACCTTAAAAGAAAGAGATTTGTAAAAAGTTAGACTCTTATGCATCTCTGTATGAACTTGGTCTGAGAGACCAAAGGTTGGAACACAACTGTTAAGTTGGGATGATTAACAACTAGCAACTAACCGTTAATTTTTCCATTGGTGGTTGGCACAAAGAAGGATTTCCCACAATCCAAGAGTAGGGAGGGAGTATTACATTGAAGTTACAATCATTCAAACATGTTTTCTTGAATACTGTTAGGACCTTAGAATAGAATATTACTAGCATTTGAATTGAGCCGATTTCATTTTAATGTATGCTGATTAGTGTACATTTAAAGTGACAATAAAGTTTTTATTCTATTCTATTCTCAAAAACAGACAATAGCTAAAGAAAAGAATCACATAGTCTCAAAAAAACCTATCCACAGTCAAAACACCAGCTGCTAACATTTTTCAAAATTTGTCCCATGTGCCCTTGGTCAAAATAATCCCAGACATGTACTCTGCCCATATTTTGGTGAAGTCAGATATGCAATTAGAAGACCAGCTTAAATAAAAATACTCCTAGCTATAGCCATTGCTTGATTATGCTAGCAGCAACATAACATTTAAGAGTATCCCCAAACAGCTAACATACTGATGTATAGCTAAAGAATGGCAAAATCTTGAGATTGTATATTCCAAACTCAGTCTTGTGCAATATTTTAATATTTTCTGCAAGTAACTAATTTGCTTCATAAGAGAAATCTATTATTCCAATTTATTCTTTACAGCATTATAAGGTTTTATTTGCTGTTCTGGGGATGCTTTAAACACTCAGGATTATGCAAAATTGTGAAGTCCAATCTATCATTTCAAATCTCACCACTACTATTTTCTATATGAGTAAACAATTTTATATGTAAGGAAAAAAGAAAAGCTACATAAACACTGTTTCAAAATAAAGATGAATCCTTCTGAACTGTGATCACCATAGGAAAAAAGATTGGCAGTTTTCCCTAAATACAACAATTAGCAATCAATTGCTAATCATTCCCATGTGCCTTGAACTGTTCTTGGCTGGCTGATTTTTTCAGCCTGTACTTCATTTAAATCAGACATACTTGGATTTGTTATATTCAAATTCTATATGCAGACAATCTTCAATGCCAACTTCCATTTTAATAGAGTTGTTAACATCTGGGTATGTTGCAAGCTGGTGAACAATAAGATCGTATTCTTTGATCAAGTCTGACAATCTTCTTACTATCGTCACTTTAAGGAAATACCTATAAAAGAATGACTTTATTGGAGACTGCATAACAGAATATTATAAAACTCACATACACTTCTTCAATATCGGCAATTGCAGAAATAGCCATCTGTATTAAATCATCAATAGGCTGTTTTTAGGCTCATAAATTGCACTATAGTTTGAAATGTATGAGAATCAATTCAGTTTACCTACTCTAATTTCACAACCATGGTAATAAGTAAAATGGAAGGTGTTCAGTTTTATGCTACAAAATGTATGCACACATCTATAGAAAGAATATATTTTGAATCCATCTTGTTTTAACTTTTGAATGCTTCTATTTCTTAAACTTTACAGTATTAAGGGATTTTTATAATTTTTATGGAAACCTCTTTTGATCAAATGTTTCTACAAGCAGAACACATATGATTCAATCTATCGAATTTTAAAATGTATACATACTGACATTCCAGTTCAGCTAAATTAGAGCACTATAACTAGTTATGTAAAAGTTTCATACCTCAATCTAACATTGGCACCAATGTAGGATTCATATGGTTTCTCAACTTGCATAAATTCAAAGTCATAGCTTCTACTTTGTGTTAATTCACCAGGTAAGGCCAGCTCTTTCACTAAGTTTACAAATTCATGAGTATTGCTCTTGTCATTGAAAAGTTCTACAAAATTAAGGAATACAGTCAGAAAATACATAACAGAAACATTTCTGAAGACAATGCAACAGTTTTATTAATAATTTATTATTTGGGTGGTTGTGAGCAACTGGCAAAAAAGATATAAGTGTTGTTATTTTTTTAAAGTGAAGACGGAAGAACCTAAAAAATAAATTTAATATTTACAAACAACATTTAATTCAATAGTTCAATTGCAATACAAAGATCTTATATTCCACTGGAATTCTAGAATTGTTAATGATGTTGCTTAAATATCCTGATGTATTTTAATATTTTAATATGGACTCCAGAAGATCGTAGAGGACAGGAAGGCCTGGAGGAACATTGTCCATGGGGTCGCGATGGGTCGGACACGACTTTGCAACAACAACAACAATTTTAATATCAGCATAACTAATTTAACAAACATTTTATATTGCATATTTAACAATCAAATTTTAGTAGGACTTCCTCCTCCCAGTTTCACATTTCTCATAATATAAGCATGGAACTATCCTTTAGAAAAATGTTTGCTGATGAAACATAGGCGGCTAAATTCAGTATTAGGCAAGCCAATTTCCTCTTGTGCAACAGGACTTTCTCTTACTCTCCTTTTTCTACTCTCCTTCTTTCAATCTATTATATCATCTTTACTTACTGTACCAGTTTTGGGACCAACTTAGTAACCAATATGTTGTGCAAAACATTTTGCAACATGTGGGAACATAAAAGAACCTCTCTTTGAATCACATGCCTTTTGCAAGGCTCGTACAACAGGTTCGGACGCTGCCTCTGGCTATCTTTATTCATGTGCCAAGGCAGAGGAGACTGCTTTAACACTCCTGCAAGTTCTCTTTTGAATATTTTGCACAACCCATCATCGTTATGTGGATCATGCTGTAAAATGTACATTTTTTAGGACAGCAGCTTGATAAAACAGTAGAGGAAACATTTAATTCTTCTTAAGTATTGTACTATTGACTACAAAGAAGACATATTCAGCGTATTTGAAACTGCTTCATTGGCTATACAATGGTGGAATAGGTGGTGAAAATGATGGAACTTGCTGAGATAGCTGAATTGACTTTGATCAGACAAAAGACAGCATTTACATTTACTGCTGAATGGAAACTTCTTGTAGACTTTTGGAGTGAAACAGAAAAAATGAACTTATTATTTATGGTTTTGATGATTAAAAAGAATCGATTATAGAAGGAGAGAAACGTTGTAATCACAGATTAAGAGGTAAACTTATAATCATACTTATAACTGCTTAAAGAAAATCAGAAACTACCTCTTTGAATCTTTTTCTTTACTTTCTTTTTCCTTTCTTGCACTTTTGATTTTTTTCTCTGCTTTTTCTTACTTTGTTAGCTTTTATATTTTTTAAAAACTTTAATAAGTGTGTGTGTGCATGTGTTCAAACATACATTATATACATACATACACACGCACACTACATTGTCTATGTCATCACATAAAAATTCTCTTTTAATGTATATCACTATATTACACATTCAAATAATTAATTTAATTTAATTAATAAACAATCCCAAACAGTTCATTCATTATTAAGTTTAATATTTTCTATTGCTTGCTATTCAGTTACCTTGGTATTATTCCAGTGCCATGTCCAAATTAAGATTTCTACAAATCATGGTGAACATTTTACAATTATCCAAATTCAGTGCCAGGTCTATAACTCACCAATTTGCCCTACGAATTCAATTCGTATTCCTTGATGCTCTAGCCTCTTTCCATGTTGTTTAAAGACTATGTTTACCTGAAGGAAAAAACCCAAAATATTAATGTAGCGCTCCTGTACCTCTGTACAGTTTCATAAATCACTATACAAGGACGTAGCCGCAATAGGAACAATTTATACCCAATTTTTCATTTTATTTGTAGAACTTTTTATGTGTATGCCTTCAAGTCAGTCGACTCCTAACAACTATTTATTAAATTTCTACACAGGTATGTTCATGCAATTTTCTTCGCAATATTTTCAGAAGTTGTTTTCTATTGTCTTCTGCCTAGGGCTGAGAGGAAATGACTGGCTCAAAGTCACCCAGTAAGTTTTCATGGATTAGAAGTACAATCTCTTGGTCTCCAGCCAGTACCTTCAACCACTACACCCTAACCCTAGAACTAATAATGGCTTACAAGAATTTAAAATTAAATTCCTCAGAAAAAATGCCCAAGGTAGCATAAACAAGATTTTTAGAAAATTAAAGAGCATATTTTGCCTACTCCTTTCAGTGTCTTGGTGGTTTACAAATAGAATATCAAAATGCAAATATTAAATACTGTATATCTATCTGGCAATACAAAAATCACAAAAATTCAGGGAAGAATAACGGAGTTAGTCTATTTTAATGCTTTAGGAATCCAGCTGTGGATAGAGTCTTCAACAGTAATCACATATCCTAGAAACAGAGAACTGGTTTTGAGCTGGGATAGCTCTTTCTTCCTGCAATTTCAAGAGTCTTGGGGATGGGGGGAGGATTGTTTTAGCCTAGATTTTGGGTAGAGAAGCTATAGATAAAATGCTTTTTGTTAGTTTTTCCTTCGTTCACATAAAATGAACATTACACCTGACCAAACTCTGAAATCAGATATAATTCTAAGGGGACAGCTTTCATAATGAAACCATTTGTTAACATATAAAAATGATAATATATTCTAGTTTTACTCAGAAAGCAAATAAAACATAATTAACCAGCCACTGAAACTTTAAAGCACACTATAGCCATATATGTTCTATTATGGGCCATTCTGAGCGTACAAAGGATACAATTTACCTTTCCTGAAACTGATTCTCCATCATAGAACAAGTAATGTTTTTCTATTTTGTTATCTTCTGTTTTGATTTCAGCTGTTTTTCGTGATTCAGCATCATTCAGAACAACATCAATCTCACATATGGGACCAAATAAATTTCCAAGAAAACTCTGCAAAAAAAGTAATACTTATTTAAATGTATGAAGTAGGAACTTTATCTAGTACAATAGTATAGACAAAAATACTGGAAGCTTTGGAAGTAATTATTCAACATAAAAATTAAAAATATATACATTCATAATAGAAAGAAACTCTTACAGCAAG